CTGTTACCTTCCCACCGAAGTGGTACCTATTTATCTACTTGCAATTTCTTGCTTTCGAACTGCTAGGTTGGCAGGAGCTGGAACTAGAGACGGGAGCTCACTCCGTCATGCGGCACACTCAGGTCTCGAACTGCTGAACTACCGACCTTCCACAGCCTGCAGTTCAGCGTCTTAACCACTTGAGCCACCGCAGCTCCATGAAGTTTGCTTAAGTAGGTAACAAATTTGAGTTAACAGCATTTTCCCAACAATTACATTGACCAAATGATCAAACAAGCTCAATATGACTTCTTTTCGTACTCAATACTCAGTCTTGGGCTCAAATAATACGGTACTGGAATATCCAAACTGTTATTGCGAGGAATTCTCCCCTCCAGTATAAGAAGATTGGGAGGATTCAATTAATATCTTCTTTTGCCTCAGGTTCAAGATTTGGGAAGGTGTTTCCCTAAAGTGCACACCTAGGGTAAGCAAAAGCTGTTCATTGTTTTCCCTGCCGGGGCGGCACTGTGGTTAAAGTGTCAGACTAGAATTTGGGAGAATGGGATTCAAATCTCCGCACTGCCATGAAAGCGTGTCAGGTTGACCTTGGGTCCATAACGATCTCTCAGCCGAACCCGCCTCGCAAGGTTGTTGTTGTGAGGCTAGGATGGAGGCCCTGAATTTTTAAAAATTATATCATTACTAGATACACTATCCCAGATGACCTGCTACAACATACAGGGAACAATACTAACCTACACGAATGGATGTTTAGAGAGGATGCACTAACAGACGCCACTTTGATCTCCCAATCGAGGTTTGCTCCATGGTTTAAAATAATTGAAAAGGATCATTCCAGAGCCTCTTATTTAAACAACATGACCTCGTATAATCTCAGGAGGCCCCTTACCTCAGTGCGTTTTCAAACGATGCCTTCGGAGATGCTAGCTGGTCGCTATAAGAAAACCCCAGTAGACCAACGTATCTGCATATGTGGGCAGTCAGTGGAAGACCTTCCTCATTATATTCTGGCCTGCCCTTTATACATAGAACCTAGGGCCAAATTTTTAGCAAAGATATTGACAGCCATATACCCCCTGTCTGATTATGGTAAGATGGCCTTGATGCTCTCAGATGAGGACCCCTTCATCTCCTCAAGATTGGCTCTCTTTTGCCTTGGGTCCGGAGAAAAATTAGAGCAAAGAAATCAAATAGTACCATTGCAACTAAGCGAGTGTTCTTAAAAGGTCCTATCGGATTTAAATATTATAGGTTTAACAGGTTTTGTACGCTTTGTAGAGGTTGAATTTATTTGGGTTTTTTATCATATGCTAATGCACAGAGTCTCTGAGAGTGTTTGATATTGTGAAGGCCTATGGCCACATACAATAAAATGATTCTGATTCTGGCTAAGGTGGTGCTGGGGAGGGTGATATGATAAGCGGCTCTGGCTCCCCATGAGAGAGAAAAGAGGGACATAAATAAAATAAAATATAAAAAGTGAAAGAGTTGGAGCAGAGTACCATTGGCAATTCCCCCCCCCCCTTTGGCACAGGGGTCCTTTTAGTCTTGACCTTTAACCGTGCATTCTTTTATCCCAAATTATTTAATCTATCAAACACACACAGTTTCACCATCATGTATACCCCCCCCGCCCGCATACATCTCCCTGGGGAGACAGAACGAGTAACATCTAATCAAGTCTGATGGATATCCACCCTGACGTCAAACAGCATTTCATAGAATCATAGAATCGTAGAGCTGGAAGGGGCCACCAGAGTCATCTAGTCTGACCCCCTGCACAATGCAGGAAATTCACAAATTTCAAACTTGGGCTAGCAAGCGGCTGTGGATTTTAAGATTTTAATCTACACACTGACTGCTAAGCAATCATGTATATATTGCGGGCATGCAATTAAAGGAGGAGGAGAAGTAGGGTCACTTTTTGCTCATTCGTAACATTTCCGAGGGTCGGCAAATTCTGGATACGGACTAAAAGGAGAGGCCATCTTTTTGCCAGCTTGCGTGCAAAAAGGATCCAAATGCGACCAGCGCAGTGCACGCAGGGCAGTGAAGGAGGAACGGTGCTATAAAAGACTTCTCGTCAGCTCTGCTAAATTATGGCTTGGAGAGAATCGCAATTGTGATCCAAAATGCCAAATGAATCCCATCAGCCTCGTGTTTTTGTAGGTTTTTCCCCCATTAAGTCACAGGTGGTTCATGGCAACCCCATTGGATTTTCAAGGCAAGAGATATTCAGTGGTGATTGGTCATTGCCTGCTTCTCCTCTACAACCTTGGTATTCCTTGGAGGTCTCCCATCCAAATACTAGCCAGAGCTGATCCTGCTTAGCTCCTGAGATCTGCCAAGACTTTGCATTAGGAGCTTGCTAACACCTCTGTTTCTGCAGTCCAAAGCAGACTGAAAGACCAAGAGGTATCCTGGTGGGATACCTTTGAACTTGTGAGGTCACAGATACTTCAGGCCTTGCTTTAGTTATTAGTTTCAATTTTTGCTCAAGGTTCAGACCCATAAATTGCCTACCAAGGGCTTCCTTGGAAGCTGTTTCCATTCACATCGACAGGACACAGGACGAAGGAGTAAACGAGGTGAAGAGCAGGCTGCCCGACCGAGAGCTGCCGCCGGAATCTCGCCGAAGAAGCGAATCAGTGTCTGAGGCATTTTGGCGGAAGCCCAAAAGATTTTTCTTTGATAAGTGCAGCAAAAACGTCTCGGGAGGCACGATGGAAGTCTCTAGACTGCCACCAGGTTTACCGGAGGGGGGGGGAGAATCAGAATACATTTGCAGGCCTCACCTGGAATGAAAACATCTGAGGAACTCGGAAAGCAAAAGAAGTTGTGAAATTCCGGCGCATCCCTGACACCAACAATAAACAACATCCTATCCCTATAAACAACATCCTATCCGTAACAGATCTGACATCCCTGAATTTATCTTTACCTTGGCTGAGGAGTACGGAGAGCAGGGAAAGCGCCAGGATCCTGGCCATCTTGAGGCACCTCTGAGTTCCCCCTCGGTGTCCTTTTCCCTCTCTGTGACCAGCTCTCAGGCACCGCCTGTCATAACCTCTTAAATTCTCCCACCCAGCCCCAAGCAAGGTGCCTCAATTGGTCTCTGGCCGGGATCCACCTCTCTTCTCCTTGACTGGAAGGAGACAGTACTAATTAGCATCGCAAGGCATGTGAGAGAAAACAGCACACAAGGAACGCACTCTGGACGGGACCCACCTGGTATCAAGGTGAGTCACAGCCGGGATTTCAGAGCCCTTTGGGAGCATCCCAATGGAGAGATGAGGAGGAGGAGGATTGTGTCAGGCCTCAGGAATCCGAGCCATCTGGTTGAGAAAGGAAACAGGAGTGAGGCAGAGAAAGAGCGGAGAGCGGAGAAACCGTGCCAGAGAGGAGAAGAAAGAGAAAGGCTGAAGAAAGAGAGAGAGAGAGAGAAGCAAAGCCTGAGAAGAGAGCCAAAGTGAGGTGGAGGATGAAGTATCAGGCCAGGATTGGGGAAACCAGGGTTCAGAATTCAATGTTCCCTCTAAGCTGTGGAGTCCTGTGAGCAAAAATTCTGCTTTGTGAGCCACTGGCATTAAAGTTGTGAGCGAGTGATTTGGTTCCTGCGTAAATCAGTTTGCCCTGGAGCCGTCCTTCCTGAGCTGAGACAAAAACGTGTGAGCCGGAGGCTAAGAAACGGTGAGCTAGCTCACACTCACTCCGGGGAAACCAGGGTTCAGATCCCCTGCTCGGGGAACAAGCTGCCTGAATCACTCTCTGTTGTCTCAAATTACCTCACCCTGTGGTTGTTTTGAAAGCAGGAGGAAGAGCCCTGCGTGCCACTCTGAGTTCCTTTGGTGGTGGTGGTGAGGGAATAAAAATTTGGTACTCAGACAGGAAAGGGGCTTTCCTCTCCGGCCAAGGAGACCTAAATCCCACCTCTTCCTCCTAATAAATTACTTCCACAAGTAGAGATGACTCCATGTTTTTTGGGGGGGCTACAATGTTTCCAGATTGGAAGTCCTCCATGGGTCATCTCCACAGCGGTCACTGGTGGGGTGAAGAGACCACCTCCCCCCAGCAAAAGCGGACCTCTCGGTCACTGCCGCCATCTTGAATCAGCCTTCCATTCAGGTCTTCCAACATCAGGAAGGGCAACAAACAGAAGGATTTCGGGAACGTGCCAGGTTGACTATTCAGCATGTGGTGTGGCCCTCAACTATCAAGGGGCCTCAGACAATTGCCTCACCTTGCCAGTGCCTGGTGCCAGTCATGTCCACATGCCTCAATGTGTAAACAATGGCATAATGAAGAAGAGGAGGAGGAGGAGGAATAGGAGTTGTTTTTTATACTCTGCTTTTCTCTACCCGAAGGAGTCTCAAAGCAGCTTACAATCACCTTCCCTTCCTCTCCCCACAACAGGCACCCTGTGAGGTAGGTGGTGCTGAGAGAGTTCTGAGAGAACTCTGACTGGCCCAAGGTCACCCAGCAGGCTGCATGTGAAGGAGTGGGGAATCAAACCCGGCTGTCCAGATTAGAGTCTGCCGCTCTTAACCACTACACCACACTGGCTCTGAGTGTAATTGAAGCTGTTCTTGTCTCAAGATTTAATCTGAAGCAAGTTTCATTTCCCAACAGTATCAGTAGCCAGTGCAAATCTGTCAGTCCATGAGCGCATGTACTGAATACTTTTTCTAACTGGAAGGAAGGAAGGTAAAGTGATGGAGAAATAATGCTTGGTTTAGTCTTCTTTTATCTTTATCTTTCCCCAGGAAAAAAAATATATCCCTAGCTCCTTGTTCAGCCCTAGATACTCAAAAGCACAGAAGTCCCCACAGTACAATTGTTGTTGTTTTATTCCCTGACAAGCTGTATCTTTTGGTCTACATCAGGGGCCACCAATCTTTTCTTTTCTTTTTTTTGCACATTTTTTTTTATTATTCAGGATATAACAACACGTTCAATACTATATATCATTTTCGTATACATCCTTTCTTTCCCCCCCCCCCCCCACAGTCTTGGCTTCCCGCAATGCTTAAACCCTCCAGTCTTTTTCTATATCACCCTAATTTAGAATATCATATTAATCATATAGTATCTTAGGTAAACTTATAGTTCTATTTTCTGTCTTTAACAACTCATTGTATCCTTAGTAACTCTCAAAGCAAAGCAAATTGTTTTTCACATCCCAATTGTTCTCCAAATACATTTACTCACTAAATATTGTTTAAAGTCTTTCCAGTCTTCATAAAAACTTTCGTCTTCTTGATTGTTTAGCTTTCTTGTGATTTTGTCCATCTCAGCCATAAAAATGACTTTTTTAATCCAGTCCCATTTTTCTGGTATTTTGTCTTGTTTCCAAAATTGTGCATATGTCATTCTTGCCGTTGTTATCAAATACCAAAACAAAGTTCTTTTGGCAACATTTAGTTCTTCCATCTTAAGACCTAAAAGCAATATTTCTGGTTCTTTTTTAAATGGACATTTCAATATTTTTTGCATTTCATTATGAACCTCCGTCCAAAATGCCACTGCTTTCTCACATGTCCACCACATATGGTAAAAAGAGCCTTCATGTTGGGGGGCCACCAATCTTTTCAACCCTGTGGCACCTTTGGAATCTTGACATTGGTGAGCATGACCCCCCAAATGACTGCCACAGGAGAGGAAGTCGACCCCCAAAGTGTCTTCTGCCTGAGGCAGACCCCAAAAGAAGACCTCAAACTCCAAACCTTTCTCCCCGGTGCTTTTCTTTTCCTCACTGACAGGGAATTTTTAAAATGTGTGGAAAGCATTCAAAATATGACACAGCTCCCTCTCTCTCACACACACATACAAACTATGAAAACAAATACAGACTCCAGCCTCAGGATTCACTTCTGTGACACCCGGGATCACCAAATTCATTCCTTTCCAAACCACGGGTGCTCAGCTCATAGTACCAGAAATCAATAACAAAATATGACTGATTTAATACAGTAGCCTGAATAATGCTCCTTCGCAATGCCACCTTGGAACGTATATTCTTTGCAGCAAGGGCAAATAATTAAACTCTATAGGAGACATATTTATTTTATTTTATTTTAATTAAATTTCTATTTATTGAGATTTATACCCCGCCCTCCCCGCAGAGCGGGCTCAGGGCGGCTTACAAGGGGCAAAGCCCATATAAAACAGATAAAAGCAATAAAAACATTAATAACAATTGTACTCGGTTTAACAAGATGGTAAAAAGACAGTTCTCCAGGGATGATGTTATCCTATAGCACAACCAGGTAAATCCAGTGGAGATTGATCCATATCAGATAACAGAAATGAAAGTTTATCCTCGACTGGGTAAGCACTAAGACCAGATAAAATACCTGCTAAAAATTTAGCCCTCGGACTAGAATACAGTGGGCAAAAGAGGATATAGTGAGGTAAATCCTCAGGTTCATGAGTGCCACAAATACATAGACGATGGACCAATGGAGTTGGATTGAATCAGCCCTCCAAAACTGCCGTCGGCATTGATTGAAACCCTAGAGAGGTAAAGGACGCTCTAAGTACATGTTCAGAGATATTGACTAAGTATGGAGTTCTAGTATGGTCCGATTTAATCGATGTGTACCATGGTGCCGCTTTTGATTGTAATATCAATGGGCCGCCTAGCCGAGCATCAGAGCCATAAATCCAGTTTCTAAGGAACACTGTGCATTCAGGAGACAAGCAGGCGATGTCCAAATGCGGCTGTTCCTGCTAATGAAAGGACAAGAAGAAAACCATAGATACCAAAAAAGGTGCTTCCTGCAATTGTCCAGTTAGTCGACCCTTTCCTGACACATTACTATAACTTCATTCTGATCCATGTGTGGGTAGACCTCAGATCTTCTTCAACTCTCTCTTTTTTAAAAAAGCAAAAAATAAAAAGCATGGGAATGTGCTCTTATAGACACTGCCAGACACTGAGCATCATAGAGTTGCCATGGCAAATTGGCGGGAGGCAGGGGAGGACTTACTGGGTGGTGAGGGCCCTTGATGGTTATGCACTGACAATACTTCCAGTCAGGCCCATATCCACCGTGGGGCATTTGGGGGCGGAGCCCCACCACCGACGACCCCTGCCCCAACCTGGGAGGATACCAGACCTTGCACCCCCAGTGTGCCTCGCCCCAAAGCAGTGGGGAGGCTGGGGAAGGAAGGGGATGCCCCCCTGCCGCTTTTGGTCAGTTTCAATCCCCCACCAACAGCTGATCAGCGGGGGAGTGAAACTGACCAGAAACAGCAGGGCAGCTTCCCTTTCCTTCCCCAACCTGCCTGCCACTGCAGGGGGTGGAATGGGGGAAGGAGAGAGAGAGAGAGAGAGAGAGAGAGAGAGAGAGAGAGAGAGAGAGCGCGAGAGAGAGAGAGAGAGGACGCACTCAGAGAGAGAGAGAGAGAGAGAGAGAGAAGGCACGCCTTCTCTCTCTTTCCTTTGCTACCCCCCCACCCCACATGCTGTTGGGGAATCTAATTAAGGTCCCCTCTCCCCTGCCCCAGTGGCCAAAAATTTCCGGCCACGGGGCTGCAAGTCCCAGTGACGACACTCTAGCATTCGACCAAAGCTCTGTGGTTTAACCATAGAGTTTTGCCCAATGCCAGAGCATCCCCCACCACCCGCAGCGATGTGCTGACGTGCCTGCTGGGTGCCTGAGGAGCAATGCCGTTCTGCATGACTGCGTGTGAGTTAAGTGCGGTCAAGCTGTTTCTGACTTATGGTGAGCCTATGAATGAATGACCTCCACAACATCCGATCATTCATAGCCTTGCTCAGGTCTGGCAAGCTGCAGATCGTGGGCTTCCTTGATTGAGTCGCTCCATTTCATGTTGGGTCTTCCGCATGGTCAAAGCAATGGTATTCCCAGTCGTCATGTATGGCGGCGAGAGTTGGACTATAAGGAAGGCCGAGCGCCGCAGAATAGATTCTTTTGAACTATGGTGCTGGAGAAGACTCTTGAGAGTTCCTTGGACTGCAAGGAGATCAAATCAGTCAATCCTAAAAGAAATCAACCCTGACTGTTCCCTGGAAGGCCAGATAATGAATCTGAAGCTC